ATGGACCGATTTTCAACTACTGTGCCAAAGCCATACATTCATGTTTGAATGAGATTGCATCTAAATTGTTGGAAGCCTCAGTAACTTACAATACTCAGCAATCTTACAAGACTGTTATGTCTGTTTTTCAGAATTTTTACAGAAAAGTATTTCACACCAGGCCTGAATTTCCTACGGAAGTAGCACAGGTTATTTGTTTTGTGTCTTGGCTACATAAAGAAGGAAAATCCCACAACACCATCAACACTTATGTTGCTGGTCTGTCATATTACCACCGTCTAAATGGTTTCACAGACACCACACAATTTTTTATTATCAAAAAACTAATTAAAGGTGCACAACAGCTGTCAGGTACACCTGATATCAGGCTACCTATCACACTTCAAATATTGCGCAAACTTGTACATGCAGTTAAAAACACAGTCTCTGAAAAATTCAATAGGCTTCTCCTTAGGGCAATGTTTACTCTGAGTTTCTTTGCTTTCTTACGCGTAGGAGAAATAACAGCAAAATCCCCCAGTAACATTAAAAATGTAATACAAATGGAAAACTTGAAATTGGACAAACCTTTGACAAATGCAAAATACATGACATTAACTCTAAGACATTTCAAGCACAACGCAGACCGGTCTGTTTACAAATAGCTACCCAAAAATGTAAATCCATTTGTCCGGTTCGTGCTATGGTGAAATACATTGAAGCACGAGGTTCAGCTCAGGGTCCCTTGTTTACTTTTGATGATTGCAATCCCATTTCACAAGCATATTTTACATCAGAACTCAAGAATGTAGTGTTATATACTGGTCTTGACCCCAAGCTCTATAGGTCTCATAGTTTTCGCATAGGGGCAGCTTCTTATGCTTTTCACTCCAAATTATCTGAAGAAAAAATCCGCCTTATGGGTCGCTGGAATTCTAATGCAGTCAAACGATACTTCCGTATACCAGTGTTTGATACTATTGAGGTTTCACCTACTAGTCAGACTGACTGAGGCAGCTGATGATGAAGGTGTAGTACCCCTCCCTCCCCTTCCCTCTTGCAATCATAAATGTATTATTTATATTCAGACTGTCTGAGGCAGCTGTATATTTATGTCAATTCCATATTTCTACTTAGTGGCCGTTATCCAATACAGAATTTTGTAGATAACAGTTTCGGCTTTTTATGACATAAAGAGATTTTGATTTATTTCATACACATGATACATATGACTTTGGATTTCACTGGACTTCGTAGTTGATCAATTATGACTGTCTGAGGCAGCGTAAGTTGATGGAGATATATATGTAGTGTATGAACTTGTGCCAGTTTTAGACTGTCTAAGGCAGCTATTATTGTTTATATGTTTATCAAGCTTTAGGGAATAATGTGGACATTTTCCTTTATGCACAATTTGTATCCAACTGGTTTTTTGTGTAGCATTTTACATTTTCTTTATACAGGTGTTTATATTTTACATGTATAATGTACTGGATAAACTATTGACTGTCTGAGGCAGCATTGTCTATACAGTCGGACTGTATTTGTACGGGTATTGTTAAATAAGTTGCATTTACCAACGTCTCGTTTTTGCTTGTATTATATACGGACAGGTTTTGTTTTTTAGGTTCATAGCTTGTCCTGACATTTTCTTGATGTATGTTGTACTTGATTTTAACGCTACTCAAGATTTATGTTTCCAAGAACTGTTTAAGCAATAGACATTAGGTATATGTTACCCTGTCATACTGATATTTCACATTTTTCTCCCATTCATCTCCTCTGGATGGGGCACTTGTCTCTAAGCTGCTGTTTTCGACAAGTTTGTGGCATGTTTTTTAATCAAGTACCATCTTTTTTGCCATTTTTAGTCATGTGTGTTTTTATTGTGTACATACTTATAGAGTTCTATATGCATTGTTGTTCTATATTAATTAGGGCAAATTTAAGATATGCATTTCATTTTTTATTGTATGTACCTTTTTGGTTGTTTTTAATTTTTCATTGTGACAGGTGTAACATATATTTAATATCAAACAATACTGCTGTATATTTCATTGGCATTTGTAATAAATGTTCTTTTCAATTCAAATACTTGTTGATATCATTTTTGGCAAAAAACAGAGCAGAGTAGATTCTGGCAGAAAAACTGAGGATTGGTATTTGATGAAAAAATAGACGATGGTATAATTGTATTTATGTGAAGCATAAAGTAATTTATACCATCTCTATTGTAAAATTTTTATTTTCTATATTCCGGATTTTGTTATGCCTCCAGTTAAGATTTTCGTCTTACAAAATCCTTTATCTCGGATCACGTGATCATTGTTTACTGTAATTTTAGAAGGGAGAAGATTTTGACCCTCCTCCTCCCCTTCATCCACCGGTGCTTATTGTGTGTTCAAATGAAGCTAGTCATATCATGTTTTGTCATTTTGCTCAATCTGTATTATACTTGTTGGCAATTCAAGATTGTTACTAGTTCTTTTTCTACAATAACTTTTAGGTACTAAAATTAAGTTAGTGCCAATATTGTTTTTATTCAAGCTAGTCCCAATTCTTTTGCCGTTTTATTTTTAAGTATGGACATGTTTTTTAATCAAGTACCATCTTTTTTGCCATTTTTAGTCATGTGTGTTTTTATTGTGTACATACTTATAGAGTTCTATATGCATTGCTGTTCTATATTAATCAGGGCAAATTTAAGATATGCATTTCATTTTTTATTGTATGTACCTTTTTGATTGTTTTTAATTTTTCATTGTGACAGGTGTAACATATATTTAATATCAAACAATACTGCTGTATATTTCATTGGCATTTGTAATAAATGCTCTTTTCAATTCAAATACTTGTTGATATCATTTTTGGCAAAAAACAGAGCAGAGTAGATTCTGGCAGAAAAACTGAGGATTGGTATTTGATGAAAAAATAGACGATGGTATAAATTCCCAGATAAAAGGAAAGTCGCTCATATATTACCGTTGTTTAAAAAGGATGATCCTTCAGTAGCTACTAATTATAGACCGGTATCATTGTTGAGCTGTGTTAGCAAAATTATGAAATGAATTGTTTTTAAACATGTTTACAATTACTTTCATCAGAATGATTTATTTTACAAATTTCAAGCAGGCTTTTTGCCAGGTCACTCAACTGTTCACCAACTACTTGAAACTTATCACACTACATGTATAATTAAGAATATCGACGAAGGAAAATTTTGTTGCATGGTATTTTGTGATCTGTCTAAAGCTTTCGACAGAGTTTGGCATAAGGGTTTACTTTTTAAATTAAAAACATATGGATTATGTGGAAATATTCTTACCTGGATAGAGAGTTACCTATGTAATAGAAGACAGAAAGTTATGTACAAAAATATTTTTTCGTCTAATAGAAACATTAACGTTGGTGTACCACAAGGATCTGTTCTTGGTCCTTTACTTTTTTTTTGATTTATGTGAATGATGTATCAGAAAACATGATTTCATTGTGTAGATTGTTTGCAGATGATAACTTGTTGCAAAGTTCCTATTATAATGTTGCAACTATTGAATATACTTTAAATCATGATTTAGATATTCTGGATAAGTGGTCTACCAAATGGCTTATGAAATTTAACCCATCTAAAACAAAAGCATTATACTTTACATTAAAATCCAATCATTATCTCCCAAAATTACAATTTCAACGATGTAATCCAGAATACATAACCTCTCATAAGCATTTAGGATTACTTTTGAGTCAAAATCTTAATTGGTCTGATCATATAGACAATGTAGTTAAACAGGCTTACCAAAGATTAGGTCTTTTGAAAAAGCTGAAATATAATATCGGTAGAAAAACTTTATCTAAAATGTACATAACTTTTATTAGACCGCTACTTGAATATTGTTCTATAGTTTGGGATGGGTGTTCTTTACAAGACGTTGAACGATTAGAAAAGGTGCAGCTTTATGCTGCAAGAATAATTACAGGGTTACCAATTATCCCTTCAAGAGATGCATTATATTTAGAAACAGGATGGGAACCTCTTGCAGATAGGCGAAAAGTAGCAAAACTAAATACTATGTATAAAGTTCATCACAACTTAGTATCCGATTATTTAAAAAGTATTTTTCCCGCAACAAGACGTAATGAATCAAAGTACGACACACGCAATAGAGAGGACTACACTATTCCTAGATGTAGACTTGAAATATATAAGAAATATTTTGTTCCTGATACAATAAACCAATGGAATAGTCTGAGTATCACCACTAGAAACAGCATATCTTTTAGCAGCTTTAAAAACAACATACATAAAAACCCAGCAGACCCCCTTCTTATTTCTTCCATGGTAATAGACGACTAAATATCATACATACTAAACTACGACACAATTGCATTTGAAATTATGATCTTTATAAAAGAAATATTATCGAGAGTCCTAACTGTTCATATGGTACACCAGAAGACCCATATCAATTTTTTTTTGTCTGCAATAAGTACCAATATGCTAGAGAAAAACTATTCAGAGATTTACTGTGTCTTACGAAACCAAATATTAAATTGAACATTATTGATTGCCACTTACTTCTGTGGGGAGATGAGTCACAAAATGTAGAAATCAATAAATATATTTTTCAGTCAGTTCAAAAATTTATAAGAGATTCTGGTAGATTTAATTAATTATTACTGCCTAACACTTACACTCTATATAGTTATATATATTTATCATATGTAACAAATGTATGTTTCAATTTAACAAACATGTTTGTACATCAATATTCCCTTTTCACTTATTTTCCATATGTATATATATTACAGTTATATATTATATATGTATATATATGACAGTTGTATGGTGAGAACCTAGTAAGTTGTTAGAACTTGTGTTCAAACCATTTGTATAGTATTTATACAATAAAATATGTTCAAACAAAACCAACAGAAAACAGATACGTAACTACATATACATAAACAATACACAATCTTGTATCATATTTTGTACATAATGCACATTATTAAAACATGTACCTATCTTATGTATCAATAAGAGAGTAGTTTTGCCTTTCTATGTATCTATATACAGACACTATGTCAGTTAATTTTGAAGGTCCACTCCCTACATAAAGAAGATGAGTTTTGTAGTCATAGGTCAACCCGTACCGCTTGATATGTATACTCCGTGGTTTGGTCAACAGGAGTGACAAGAAGTTACCATCCTTGTCAATCATCTGTACAGTGTCAGTGAGGGTATCCACCACCAGAATATGTGACAGGGCGTCTGTGCAGATTGCTGAAGGATTAAATCCTTGTCGCAGTCCTGATCCTGATGGAGGTCCAGTGTAAGAGAAGCGATGTTTGCCTCCAGAGTCAACCACCACAACTGCACTTAAAGCATAATCTGACACAATGAAATCTCCATTGTAATTTTTTGTGAGGTACTTCGGATCTACATATAAATTTTCACCTTTGTGGTCTAATCGGATATATAGTGTGGATTTCTACTTCGCCACTGCTGTAATATCGCTTTTCCATGCCATTATATGCATTGTAATTAAAAATCCTCATCCCATTTAGTGTTTCTCTTTACACTTTGGACAAAGGTTGCTTTTACATGTTTTGCAGTAGAATTCTGTGTCCCCATAACAGACAGAACATGTCCGTACCATACACTGAGTGCTGAAATCTTCCATGGTTATGGTATTGCAGGTGTTTGTCTTCCAGCAATCAAACTGTGTCAATTATACACCAAATTTTAATGTCGTACATGTACAAGTCATAAATTTACATCACTGATCATGACGTTTTAGTTCATAATTTTAACATACACAGGATTTCTGATTAATCAGCACTAATGCAATACAAGGTCTGATACAAAAAAAACAACAACATTTTATTGCTTTTTAGATTTTAAAATATTCCAGATATACATTTTAGTACTCAAAGTTCATGCAATGATTAAATACATTAATTTAATGATTTGCACAGGATGAAATCTGGCCATTCAGTGGACTGAATGATAACTGAATGGTAGCTGATTGACAACAGAATGGTAACTGACAAGGTAGTTTTCAATTGACATTCAGTTGCATTTCATTTGTCAGTAAGTCAACTGAATGGCACATACATTTCAGTGACCTTTCACTTGTCATTCAATGACCTTTCCTTCATATTACAGTGACCTTTCATTTATTATTCAGTTACTATTCCGTCATATTTCAGTTACCATTCTGTCATATTTCAGTGACCTTACAGTTATCTTTCAGTGACCATTCCGTCATATTTCAGTGACCTTTCAGTTATCATTCAGTTACCATTCCGTCATATTTCAGTGACCTTTTAGTTATCATTGATTGACCATTCAGTCATATTTCAGTTAACATTCCGTCATATTTCAGTGACCTTTCAGTTATCATTGAGTAACCATTCCGTCATATTTCAATAACCTTTCCGTCATATTTCAGTGACCTTTCCGTCATATTTCAGTGACCTTTCATTCGCTATTTAGTTACTATTTCCGTCATATTTCAGTGACCTTTCAGTTATCATTCCGTGACCATTCCATCATATTTCAGTTACCATTCCATCATATTTCAGTGACTTTTCAGTTATAATTCAGTGACCATTCCCTCATATTTCAGTGACCATTCCGTCATATTTCAGTGACCTTTCAGTGACCATTATGCCATATCATAGTAACAATTTTGTACTGTTTCAGTAAGACAGTGACTATTCATTCATATGTCAGTGGCCATTCCATCATATTTCAACAATCTTTTCGTCTTTTTTATGACCATTCAGTATTCAGTATTCATTCCATTGAAATTAATTGATTCTTCAGCATTCTTAATTAACAATGAAATCAGCTTTTAAAACATCTCATCTCTAGGATATTGTTAGTTCATTTATCAAAAAAAAGGTCATTGAATTCAAATACAGTATAGCCCAATTACTACGCATTAAACTCTGGAAATCACATTTACGAACAAGGTTTTAATAAACAATATTAGACCTTAAATTACGGATTCATGAACAAAATTACATAAGTTTAAAAAAAATCACCATAATACTCATATTTTTCAATGTTAAATAACAGCTTTATGCAAAAAAAGTAACAAAAAATTATTTTTTTTTTTTTGTTTTTTTTGGGGTTTTTTTAATATAGATCTGAATTGGCATTTTAAATTAGGGTCTGTGAGTTGGGCAGTCAAATAAGGATACATATTTTTTTTCTACATCTGAAGTTAAACAAAATTAGACAGAATTTGGTCTAAATATAGTCAATAAATATGAATATAATTTAATCACACATACATAAATACATGCATTAGCTACTATTAAAATCACAATAACAATACACTCATTCCAAATTATCAATAACAATTTTTAAAAAAATAAATAGATATAAATATTTCATAAATAATCTATGATAAATAAATCTGGCAAGAAACAAGACAAAGAATATCAACTCCCCTCAGGTACTAAATTATTTCAAGAAAATATTTTGAAAGTAATAATTCATTTCTCAAACAACTGAAGTTTATTCTCCTTTATTTTATTTCAATAAATTTTCACTTGCAAAATGTTCTTATATTGATTAACCACTTATTCCTCATTAAAAAAAAACAAAAAAAACATTGAATCTGTAGTTAAAGGGGGATTGAGAACATTTTTTAAATTGTTTCACAAATTACCTTTCTTTTAAATGTTCAATGCAGTATTAATAGAAACCATGACATAGGTGTTGACTTAGTGTAATAAGAGTTTCACAGCATCACCGTCAATCTCTCTCTTCTTCGCTCCTTACAAATCGGGGACAGTCTTCAGTCTCTTGGAAGGAATGTCCAATACCACGCGCTTCTTCATCTGCCTCTTGTGTTGAGGAGTTAATCTCTGCACTCTAGCTTCCTCTAGCTGGTCCTTAAAGGCACGAAACGAATCCTACTGTCATGGGAGACGCCTCACGACAAAGTGTTTCACTTCCCCATCCTCATCCATCTCGGATTCCTCAGATGAGAGGTAGTCTGGGGTCATAACTTTGAGAAGTTTCTCTTTATCCATGCCCTGCAAGGCCTCATCCTTCAGGGACTTGACTGTTTGTTTGAGTCTTGCAGCTCTCTGTAATATGAAAACAAGGATATACTAGCGGCTTTAACAATTAACCAAAATGTATAAAAACATAATAAACATGATAATCAGAAGTCAAAACTGTATCTCTACTGGTTTGTATTATTTAAATATCAAATGCAGAGAAAAATTAGCTGTTTGGACTTGAAAACTGCAACAGCATTTAATAAGACAATGATCCTTGATATATTTTTTTTTTGTTAAGATTGCAATCATATTAAAATTTAATTCTAATGAAATTTACAGTTACCTTTAATTTCTATTTTAAGTTACATGTACCTTTAACAGTGCACATTGAAATAAAAAAAAAAATACCCGATATACAAATTATGTATCTTGTGTAGTCTTCTTGTATACTCAAAAGTTATTTTGAAATTAGAACAAAAAAATGTAGAAGGAGTAGAATTTTGAAAGTATTTCAAAGAAATTTCTTTTTTTTTCGTGTATCCTTCAATACTGCTAGTTGAAATAAAAGAAACCGATACAATGAATTGTGTATCTAACATGTCTAAATGTCTTCTTGTGTGGAAATCAGACTGAACTTGTAAGAGGAGCAGCATTTTAAATGTATTCATAGAAATTTCTGTTTTAGTAACCTCAAACAGAATCAAAAATTCAATATTCAGAATTATCCATCTTAAAGTGTAGATAATCTACTGTACTTGTGAGCCAAGTTATATTAAAATCAGACCAAAAACTGTAGGAGGAGGAGTGTTTAAAAGGTATTTCAAAGAAAGTATGAAGTGACATAGGGCCTGCGGTAAATTATCAAAAAATTAAATGTAAAAATTTCACGCTAATTTTCTTCATGCAAACAAAATGTGCACCCTGATGGAATACTACTTCTAACAAAAATAGATTGTCTCATTGGATACCAACAACTTTGACCCTTTGACCTTGACCTTGGAGATTTCCGTACTTATGAAAAAACTATGACCTTGGCCATAACTTTTAAATGGTAAGGGCTAGGGCTTTCAAACTTCACATATTTTATCATTGTGAGGAGACTTTTTATTGGATATCAAGAACTTTGACCCTTTGACTTTGACCTTGGAGTTTGACCTATATTTACTCTTTAAAAACTTTAATCTTGGCCATAACTTTTGAACAGTTCGGGCAAGGGCTTTCATACTTCATGTATGTAATAATTGTGGCAAGACCGTTCTTAAGAAACTAATCTATTTCGTCATACGGGGTTACTTTTGACTTTTGATTGAGAAGAGAAAGGGCTTTCATATCTGACATGCACATTACTTTTGACAATATTTGACACAATATGTCATAAAAAATGACATCCCACCCACAAAGGTGTTCGAGATTAAAAAATGTTTCCATAATTATACACTGAGTAGTCAAAAACGTTGCAAATGTAAACTGTACATCTAAAAGTTTAAGACTATGTGATTGAAATCATTTTGATTCTAAAATTGTGAAAAGTATGTGTCCATTGTATATAAAATTAAGGCAGTCATGTTCAATAGTTATTTAAGGATGCACTGTCAAGTTAGTAGATTATACCAGGGCATCAACGATAGTTGAAATTGTGGGATAATTTGCATAACGAGTAAAGCTAACTAACTAGACAGTGATTCCTTATATTTCCTTTTCATTGTCTAATAAAATTGTAAATTTAGATTTTAAAAATATAAACAAATAGATTCAAATTACATGAGGCCACCCGTGTCAATTTCAATATTCCACCCATTGAGGTCAAACACAAAGACAGCCGCACAAGATTTACATGCATATTTGACCTCCTTAGAATCAGACACAATGGCAGATGCACAAGATGGAAATATTTAAATGTTAATACTAGCCTAAGGTACCTTATGATTGTTGATGTACAGATATACAAGTATCATTTTGCAATGCTTGATACAGAATTTGGATTTATAGGCATTTACTATCTATGTCAATTCAACAAAAATCCTTCGGAAACAATAACGACCAAAAGGTGTGTTGAATGTTGCCAGTTTTTGGCTTTCCGAGTCAAGTGGTATCTGCCAATAACCAATGTTGGAGTCTAGTTTTCTGAAAACTTTGGCACCTGCAAGACGAGTAGTGATCTCCTCAATCGTGGGTAGTTGATAGAACTCTCGCTTGATTGCCTTATTGAAATCTCGTTTGTCCAGACATATCCTTAGTTTACCATTGGACTTTTCTGCACATACGATGGAACTAACCCATTTCGTTGGCTCATCCACTTTTCCAATGACGCCTTGGGACTCCATTCCATCTAACGAGGCTTTTAAATCATCTCGTATTGTTGCTGAAAATGTTCTAGGTGGATGTACTAAATATATTTGGTATCAGTTGCACAGGTAAATGTGAAAAGGTGAACTAAACACAATCGCACATTCAATGAAATAATACGTAAACAAAATGGAAAATGTAATACATACATACGAGGGTTGTCCCGTAAAATCGTGGACACAGCGCCTTTCTCGAAAAGTAATAGGCGCTCCAAGCTGAAAATTTCAGTAAATGTTTATTTATCATATTCAAATGCATGATAATTTTTTTTTTGATAAAATATAGGCAAAAATAAAGATTTTATTATGCTTGATTTTGCACGGGGTATTGTCCTACGGCGCACGGACAAAAAACCAAGGTTTTATTAAAGAATACACAAGTTCAAATTCAAATTAAAGTTTTAAATACATAAGATTTGGATTAGAATTATCCTAATTCAATTCCGCAATTAATTTTGTAGTCTCTGTAAAAATTTTAAGGCATTTGGTTAATTTTTGGCAGTTTCTCGAGCAATCGAAATGGGAAAGTGGTAAACACAACACACGAAAAATGGCGACGTTTTATGACGTTACAGCGCACCGGAGAGCAGTTCCATACACCTTTAGAGACTTGAAATGACCATAGAAGAAAAAAAGATTATAAAAATATCACCATATCTTAAGTATACAAATGAAATAAGAGTTTTCTTAGCGAAGTCTTTTTTGATCGAGTCCCTAAGGAGTACAAAACATACGGACAAACTCCTAATGTAATAGTAAAAGACGCTGTCACAGTAGACTGCCGATATGAGATTTTCTATTAGTTGAATGATGGTGAGAATATTGTCCGTAACTTACTAATAAATCTTCAGAAGATCGCATGAGAGTGCCAATTAGTTCTTCGACTGTTTATGGAGACTAAAGAATGTGCATCAATGGAATTCCTAAATATGTCGGACTAATCCAACTTTTTTTCAGAAAAAATAAAACATGACGCTGTTAAAGACACTTTGACGTTATAATCAATGCGCCGTAAGGTGATACAATACACGGCATAAAATCACATAATTTGTTTATTTATGCATATATTAATCTGAAATTTGCTGTGTATATTACTAAAATATGTACTAAATAATAATGAAAATTTCAGAACGCAGTGATGTTAATTTTTGACACTAGACAACTTGTCCACGATATTACGGGACAACTCTCGTACACTACTTGAAGAAGGGTCAAGGTAAAGGCTACCAAATGTAATAAAAACCAAAAATATCCAAGTGCATTTTAATTTTGATATGGCATATGCTTATTTATAAGCAAAGATCTTCTGATTTAACAGAAATATTTCCTCGACGGAAAAAATAACGTTTACACTATTTCACAATGTGATAAAAATATTCTTTATTTCTGAAAAGAAAATCCATAGAGTGTTTTCTTATTTTAAACTCAATTTATCCATCATTATACTTAGATAGATAATATGTACAGAGTTTCGAACAAACTTTTTCTTGTAAGAAACTTTTAAGATTTTTGTCCCGTAAGAAACTTTTTAAGATTTGTTAAAAAATCTTTAAAATATATGACACAATGTAATAAATTCCCATTAAAGAAAAGGCAAACTTCCTTGAATTTCACTTTAGCATTAAAATTATGGCATTAAAATAAAATTCTCATTTTGTCCATTGATAACACTATTGAGAATTACAAATTATTTTGTATTAATATACATGTATCCCTTAAATGTATTCTGACGTAAAAATTAGTTTAAATATCTCCATTTATTCGATACGCAAGAGCATGCTCTAATTATGAACAATTTCTAAAAAGGTAAATTATTGACAAACAAGTTGATGAAACAAGAATATTAGCAGTCTAGTTTTAAGTCTTCATTTCGTATGTTTTTAGATCTATGGTCGATACAATGACCTTGTCAGCAAACACAATTTTTCATTGAATCAAATGCTTACTGTCGTTTTTCACACTAATTGTTAGTCCATTATTTATACACTGAATTGTGGACGCATTTTCCCATTGTTTCCCGATCATGACAAGTAGCACACTTTGGGTGTGACCTGTCGGTAGGGGATACTCACTGATCCCACCTCAGATGTTTTAGAGGTCCGAATTTGCTATGGTTCTATTTTGTATTCTTTATTTGACTTTGAGCTTCAATAGTGTTCATTATCTACCTTTATTCCATGCAACAGATTATTAATAAAAAACTGCGATTAACCCCTGAAGAAACTGAGTATTGGTTCTAAATTTTGAGATGCTCAAAGGTCACAGTAACTTAAAGAATATGTCAATTTGCGAATGTTCTCATTTTTATGCCTCTTCATTAATTTTCAATTATTTTGTTTCAGAAAACATAGAGCAAGCTTGCCTACCTACGAAATATATATTTTCGTGTACTAGTATCAGATGCTTCTGTATCGAAAAAGTTCAAATAGGCAAGCTAATGCTATATGTTTCCTGAAATGAAAAGTTTCTCAATTTTGACAAACTTCCACCAGAATTGAGGAAACTTGAGAGAATCTCCCACATCTACATCCTCTTGTGACCTCTGTATAAGATTTACATCAAAATTAGGGATGATTTGAAAACAAGCATTATTTTAGGTTTTCAACTACAAGTTCTTATGATGTCTTGATTTTTATATCAAATATGGGGCAAGATTCGCCAGTTACCATACCTTTTTCTTTTGCACAAAGCTAGAACAATTTAAGTTAAAACTTCTAAAAACATTTCTGAATATCGGGAAAATTCGTATTCATAGTTAAGCCATATTTTGACACCTCAATTTAGCCATACACAGCATATATGTTTCAATTTCCTTGTGAACATTCATTAGCAATATTGCTTTTTTATTAAGTAACAAGTACGAACATGCATAGGACTCCGTACATGTACTGTTGGATTTCAAAAAAATGATCGTATGTTATAATTGTATTTTACTTTAATTCTTATATACGAGGGGTGATCAAAAAGTTCGCGAACTATCTCTATATTTACAAAACCACAAATCAGATTAGAATGGAATTTGGCACACGTAAAGTCATACACATGTTCTATAAATAGCATATGTAATGGAACGTTTTTCCCCGTGTTTGTGACGTCACAATGTGAAAATGACGTCATAAGGTAGGTCACTCGTGACAAAAAATGGCTGATTCAGTCGTATTCGAGAAACGAACGGCGGTAAAGTGAAACGTATATCTTGGAAATTCCTTTGTAGAAGTTTGTAATAATCTGTATACGGTTTATGAAGACAAAAGACATAAGAATTTTTGTCTTTAATTGGATTACTTGTTTAAGTGAAGATAGATAAGATAAGATGGCCATCAAATCCCAAGTCCTCTATCTTTTGTTTGCAGATGCGCATTTAAATCAGAGGGGACTACTTTAAATAAATATTATCTATCTTATCTTAATTTATTTCTAGAAACTAGTAATCAGGGTTTAAAGTTATTTTCGGTTGTCACTTTTAATGTGGTGAATACTATGTCATTGTAAAGCACCACGGAGGAATAGTGATAATTTTTAGTAGTGTGATATTATTTTTAAAAAACTGTTTCTTGTTTATTATGAATGATTGTTGTATTTTATGTAACATTATTATATAGTCGGAAAACTGCTCTTCAGAGCTAATGTTCTTTGTTGATTAACCCGACTTTAAATAAATATTATCTTATCTTATCTTTAAAATATTTTCAACACTAAAACCCTATATCATTCTTTTTGTGGAAGTTAGTCAATTAGTTCGCGACATTTTTGATCACCCCTCGTAGATTTCAAATTGTTAACTATTTCCAGCTGTAATTTTAGTCCTTTTTCGCTTATAATAGCAAAATCATATACATTTAATTGAGTTCATTTTAAAGCAGATATGTTTTACGGGTATGTGTAAAACACGAAACGAGAAACACGAAACAAGAAATGAGAAGCAATGGACTGAGATTCAGCATAAAATAACTAAAGGTGGATAGCTTGTGCTTGAGACTTTTTTGTTAGATAACAGAGGCTTAGTGAAATGAGTAAATTTAAAGATCCAAATTATAGATCAGATTTATCAGCGACCCGCACAATTATATCACACAGAAAAATCAGAAAATCTTGACAGATGTAATTAATACAATAAAATAACATGAAAAAAAACAATGCTTACCCTGTTTTTACTTACAATAAACCAGAAGTCTCTGACGAGACTGTACTTCTACTGGTTGCACTTATTAAGAAAGATTAAAGTAGCATCACTTCGACTCAGGCAAGTAGCAACAGGGGGCAGGGGAGGGGGGAAATGTAGTTTTGAATTCCAAAGAAGTTGGTACTGAAAGAATTTGGCTTTGAAAAAAGTTGGCCTCGACCCCCCCCCCCTTTGTCAACTTTTTAACGTAAGTCAAAAAAAATATTCTCTGGCTGATCCCCAACTTTCAAAAACGATGCTATGTGGCTGGTCCGACTTGAAACTTTGCTTCAGCAGTAAGTATTTCTTGCAATCAGACTAAAAGCCTTGACAATATCATTTAACAAATCAAAAAACTTATGTATCTCAGCCCAGAGTAGTCTACTTGTATACCAAGTTATTAGAACTCAGGAAAAAAGTACAGGATGAATGGCGTTTTTAAATGTACCTAAAGAATCTTTAGCAAACATTGTAAAAACAGAAATCCAGAACTGGTGTATATAATAAAGTTTTAGAGTGTAGTCTACTTGTATTCCAAAGTATACTGAAATCAGACCAAAACTGTAGGAAGAGTAGAATTTTAAACGTTGTTCAAGGGAAGTTCTTTATTAACAATCATGACATCTCCATTCATCGAAATCAAAAACAGATGAAAATATTTCTGTTTCTTAATTTAGTCTACCTGTGAGCCAAGTAATATAAAGTATCTATCTTAATATAGTCTCTTTTTGCGAAGATATATTTGATATCAGACCAAAACTGTGAGATAAGTAGTGTTTTGAAAGTATTTTCAAAAATCTTTATTTTTATTAATCAT